AGGAGGGTTGGACTAGATGACCCACAGAGGTCCCTTCCAACCCCTAACATTCTGTGATTCTGTGATGAAAAGACACAGCGATGGAGATGAGAGGAGGTAACGGCAGTGCTGAAGTGGCTAAAACACAAGAAACGTGTTCTCCAGCAACAGCTGGTGAGCTAATGAACACAAAGTCAAGACGCTCCTCCCTCCAGGAAACTAATGTCGAATTTAACCCTACAGCCACACCTGGGCAGCGTTCAGTGACAATGCTCTTTCCAACTTTTCCCTTTGTTGTTAAGAGTGCTTCAGCTGGTGTCAGACAAATGCCTTCCGAGGTCTCTACGCAGCGCCAAGGTACGGTATCTACTTCAGTTGGCCAGGCCTCCATGTGGTCTCCGCTCCTTCTCTGGTTTCACTCCTTTCATGGATTTTGTCTCTTCACAGACTTCTCCGCTGGTCTTGGCCCCATGGTTTCCCCCAGTCAGACTTGTTCAAAGTTCCACCTGACAGAGTGCACTATTGTCCAAACTTATCAACGTAAGCTGGTAGCAAGCCAGTGCTCCTAAAACCTCAGCTTCTGAAGACAAAGGTGATGAGATGTTAATCTCAGCTTTCATTGAGAAAAAAAAGTTGTATTATTTCCCTTTGGGTTTTGGAAAAAAGCTTGAGAATGTAAAAAATGAAAACTCCAGGCTCTAAACCAAATAACACACAACGTGTTATTTCAAGACGCTTTTTAAAGACTGAGAATTCACTCGTCTCGTGACTTTTGACCAGAGCCTTGGCTGAGGATCTGCGTTTCCCCTCTGCCGCAGACGAGAGGACGGGACGGAGACACCTCAGACCAGACCGGGACCCCCACAAACGTCCAGCACCTCCCGACAGCCCCTCCTGACAAAGGCGCAGCGACTACGAAAGGCAAGCCCGGCAGCGGGTCGGCACCTTCCCAGTAACCAACCTGGGCAACGACCCCGTGCGACTTCATTGAGCCTTTCTCCTTCTTTTTAAAAAAAAAAATAACGAAAAAACAGGTTGCTTCAGGAAATCACCGCAACCCTCCTCCGCCCGGTCACCTCGGCCGCCT